CCGTGTGCTGCTGTGAAGGAATTTTTCCTTCTCTGCCAGAAGTCTTTTTGCAGACAACTCTCTGAAATCCTTCTCCTGGTGTCCTGTCGACGTGGAACAACTCTGCATGTGGTCGTGGAGGACACAGAGCGTCTTTCTATGCCCCAACACTGCTCCCCCAACATCGTGGGGCCAGCTCAGTCTGCTTACCTCTTGGAGAGCATCCATGATTCTTTTGCTGTCGTCGTTGTTGTTGTGTGCATTCAAGTAATTTCCAACTTATGGCAACCCTAAGAGGAACCTATGAAAGGGTTTTCTTTGTAACTTTCTCCAGAGGGAGGTTACCATTGCCATCCTCTGAGGCTGAGAGAGTGTGACTTGCCCAAGGTCACCCAGTGGGTTTACATGGCTGAGCTGGGAACTGAACCCTGGTCTCCCAGAGTCCTAGTCTGGTGCTTAAACCACTATGCCACTCTGACTCTCCATGACACCGTATTCATCTTTAAACTAACCTGCTGCTCTTTCATCATAGCCATCTTTAAATATTTGAAGGGATGCCATATTAAGGATAGAGCAAATTTTATTTTCTGGACACAGAGCGATGGGTTCAAGCTAGAGGAACAGAGATTCCTCCTCAATATTTGGAATAACATTCTTACCCTAAGAGCAGTTGGAGGGTGGCATACAGACTGCCTTAGTGGCATCTTTGCAGAGGTTGGAGTCCTTTCGTTGTGGGTTCTTGCATGGCTGAAGGGGGCTGGACCAGATTCCTCTTGGGGTCCCTTCCAACTCTTTATGATTCTCTGTCCATCTGGATTAAACATTTTTAAAAAGCAGCTGCATCTTTCTTGAGTTTCTGAAAGGGAGAGGTTGCATTGCAAGCAGGTGTCCTAGTCCTTGCAGGCTGGGGAGGCAAGTGGATAACAGAGGATGAGATGCACTGTTTAGGAAGCATAGAGTCATAGAGCTGGGAGAGACCCCCAAGGGCCATCCAGTCCAACCTCCATCTGTACAAGCCCTCCTTGTGACAGATGGCCATCCAGCCTCTGTTTAAAGACCTCCAAAGGAGACGCCACTGTGACAAGAATTGCTTTAATATCAAAAACCTTTGTGGGTCTCCTGCCATGGCCCTAACCCTGAAAAAGCCCCACCGCCATGGATCCAAGGCAAGGACCTGACATAGGCCCCTGAGAGGTCACTTCTGCCTCTGCAACAAATAGCAGATGAAAAGGCCAGGCTTAGGAGATGCAAAAGCAGGACATTCACATCCTCCGAAATCCGGAGGCACAGAGATTTACAACCAGGATTCAAAGACAACCTATCCAGAATCCTTTGATATACAATAATCAATCTT